TTTTTTTTTTTTTTTTTTTTTATGCGTCCGCTTTCGCCTTGAAGCCATCACAGGCCGACCGCGTTGTGCGGGTCATAATTTGTATTTTTTTTTTTTTTTGCCTTTGTGGTGCAGGTGGCGCTGCGCGTAGTGATGTGCTTTGCGATACATTTTTTTTTTTTTTTTTTTTTTTTTTTTTTTTTTTCCCCTGCACGTATCCTTTTTTTTCCCCTGCACGTATCCTTTTTTTCCCCCCTTTTTTGTACTTATGCCGATTAAAATTTTCCGATCCTTAAATTTTAATATTTTTATTAAATCAGTGTTTGACTGAGTTTAGTGGTTCGTGTAGTGTGAGGTGATAATGCGGAAGGAAGAGACACAAAAAAATGGGACAAGAGGGGGGGACAAATGGTTCAAGCATTGTAGGGGGTGCAATTACCCGATGGGGGAGGTTAGTTCTTGCGCTTACTTATGAGGTGTCTCTTCTTGGGGCTTTGCCCTAGGAGAGTCAGTTCACCCCCCCCTTGGCGTCCTTCTTAATCTGCACGAGGACCACATCAACAGAGGGAAGGTTCTCCACGCAGGGCGGTGGCTGGACGCGGGAGAAGAACTCCTTGAGTAGATGATGGAATCTGGTAAAGTACAACAGAATCTGTGTGTTCAGCATTTTTAATATTTGTGCACACGTGTCTGTGTGTGTAAAGGAGAGGGTAACTTCTTGTTTGATGTTTTTAAAAAGGTCCTTCCATTTTTGGGTAAACTGCATAGCCACAGATTCCATTAATTTTACATCTACTTCAGATGTGAAATCGCTGGGATGGTAACCATCTTTCTTTAATTTGTCGACTACCTGTTCATACTTACATACAAATGAAATCAAATCAGTTACATAATGATGCAGCTGGTATGCTACGTACGCATTAATTTCTTTCTTTAATAGTTGGTCGAACCGGTCGATCCTCTCCTCTTCAATTGTGTTGCGCTTCATGACGTGAATCATGTGGCAGTAGTTGTTAATGAGAAAGAGGAGCTGCTCTCTCGTGTGTGCAAACTGGTTTTTGTGGAGGGCCAGAACGTCGATTATGTTTTCTTCTAACCGTCTGATGAGGTCATTTAGGTGTTTGTATTTTTCTTCAATGGGCTTCTCCCCCTTCGCCTCGTGCTCCCCTACCGCTTCATGGTGCACTACCGCTTCATGGTGCACTACCGCTTCATGGTGCACTACCGCTTCATGGTGCACTACCGCCTCATGACCCGCTTTGGGCGATTCCTTCTTGAGCGTGCGTTCCGAGTCTTCCCCTTCATTACCCTCGTTGCATTCCTTCCTCGTGGAGAGTTCCGCCCCAGCGTGGGATAACCCAATGTGGCTCTCCGTGTCATTTTCATCACTTGACCTTTTCACCTTCATCTTGTGTTTCACATTTTGCTCTTCACCACCCGATGGGTGATCACTCCCGTTTGCACTGTCACTCGACTTGTCTCTTTTCCCTTTTCCATTGAGGACCTCTTCCCCGGGGTGGGCACCGACGGTGGTGGTAGAAGTGGGCGGGGCCTTATTTTCTTGTGGGCTTCCCCTTTCACTGGAAGAGAGCACCCCGCAACACATTCGCACGTGGTGCTGCTTTTCAATATGAAGAGACAGTTTGGTGAGAATAACGAGGGAGCAGTAGAAGTCTGCAAATCGTTTAACTACGGGATGTGCGTGATTGTGAGGGTGAGCGCCATCCCCCTGAGCAGGCCTGTTCAATTGGTTACTACTCCCTTCGTGAGGAGGGGTGTGGGGGGAAGCGTTTCGTATGCCTTCCACTTCTTGTCCTTCCCCCTGGTCCGTGGAACCCAAATGGTGCGCTGAAGACGTGGTGAACACCCCATCAGGAGAGCCGCTCTTTATATTACTACCCCCGTGAAGGGCATACCCAGTGGCCGCAGCAACACCGCCATTACTTATACAAGCACTGCCCGTCTGAGCACTGTTAAGATGGAAAAAACTGTATAAGGTGTTTTTGTGGTTGGGGTGGTTAACATGGCTGTGGGTGCTCCGCTGCTCCACCATCTGGTGGTTCATCTCCACACGACTCATGTTGCGAGTGTTCATATGCCCATGGTTGACAGTCACCGACTTGACGTTCTCTCTAACGATGTAATCGATCCTGTTCCAAATAAGATTCTGAATCCGGTTAATGAATTCATACAAGGGGGCAACACCCCTCCTCTTGGTAAGGCAGCCGCTGTTCAGGTTAATCATGTAAATGCAGAAGAGGGCAATGACGTCATACGTTTCGCTGAGGTAGTAGTAGAGGAAGTCAAAGTGAAGAGTAAGCGTTTTTGCATACACGTAGAGGAACAAAAAGTCATGACTCTCGTAGTTGCGAAAGAAATGTGAAAGGAAGAGGTACTCCGCCGTTCCTGTGTCTAGGAAGAGTTTGTTGATGGACTTGTAAATTGCCTCGAAGAAGTGTGGCCGGCTGTCCGTGGTGAAGATGACAGGGGGGGGGGTGGCCGCCGCTTCTGGAGTGGGCGTGTCTGCGGCGGGCATTTCTCCGGTACACGCTTCTACGTCGCCCGCTTCTGCATGGGGTGCTTTCCCCGGGTGGTAGGCCAAGTCGAGCAGAACGATGGTCCGGTTGTTGAGCGGGAACAGACTCTCCTTCCTGTCTTGCGACCCCGCACCGCCCTTGGAGCCGAAGCCCAGCATGTTCATCATTTTGTTTTTCGCGGAGAGAAGACTTAGGTTAGCATTTATTCCTTGTACCAGGGAGTCGTTCTGTGAGTGGGTCCCTTCCCCATGCGCGTTTGCACAGCTCGTGCGGTTAGTGTGCCAGCTGGACGGGTCAGTGAGGGGGTCGCTTTTACCTATGCGGAAGTCATTCCCCCCTGTGGCAAGGTCCGCGTAAGGTCCAGTCCATCCAATGGTCAACTCTCCATTGAACTCTACCTTCTTCCTCTCCACATCTTGCATGTAGTTCCGGAAGAGGTTGTAATAGGTTCTGTTCATAATAGCTACATACTCCTTGACCAAGTAAGTGTAAGCATCCTTGCAGTTGTTATAAAGGAAGCAATTCAGCTCTTGAAATTTCCCCAAGTGCTGCTGTACGAAATGTACATTGCTTCTTTTATATTCTATATCACAAATGCTATTGCGGAAGAATCTGTTAATCCTATCGATGGCTTTATTTTTTAATTTGAGTAGTTCCACATAAGACGAGCGAATGCTCGGGTATGAGTCAAACAAGCAGTGCTCACAATTCTCTAGCTTCTTCGTCAGTATTCTAACATGCTCAATGAATTTTTCATTCATTGGTCCATTACATATATCACATATTAATTGTGGAGTGACTAAAATGATTTTTATATAAGTGTTTAATAATTCTAATGTGACTTTTCTGTTTTGAAGTTTGTGGGTCATAGTCTCTGTGATGGTTTGTATTCCGTTGATGTCACTTGAGATGTGTGAGATTTCATTTTTGTGATTCGTGAGTACCATTTCCACCTCCTCACACAGACTGCTACAGTGGTCGATCTGGCTATACACTTGTGCCAACTGTTTATCGTTTTCACTAAACTGGTTTAGCGTTTCGTTTGTGTAATGGTTGAGTGTTTTATTCACGATTTGGATTATGCCTTCCAGTTGGGCAGCATGTTTTCCGCTTCCTTTATCGGTGTGTTGTTCTGTGCTCAGCCCCTTGACGCTGCCTTCTTCCCGCGCGCGCCTGCGCCTCTCCACGTCCTCCACACGCATACTCCTGTACGCCTTGCATCTGTTCAGGGCATATATCTTCCCGTAGGCTTTGAGGACGTACTTGTCCTCCTGGAATTGCTTCACCAGAGCCTGTACCCGCTCATACTGCATGGTTCGCGGGGGGGGAGATTGACGAGGTGTAGGGAAGACTTACCAAAATGGAAAAATGTGCTTCCCGTCGTCACGTTCTTTTTCAGCTTCTAACTACGTTTCTACTTACACGTTTCTTTCTTCTTCATTTTTTTTTTTTTTTTTTTTTTTTTTTTTTTTTTCACCTTGCCTGGTCAACTAAAACGTGGGTAGCCCATTTGGACGAATCTCCAAGCGGCGATCTGAAAAGTGAACAAAGGAGCAACAAACGCGCCATAACTTTTTCTCATGGCAATGTGGTGTGAAGTGCACGTTCGCATTCGTCCCGTTCATGTTGTGCCATTTCGGAGAAGGCCCAACTTACGCGCAACCCACCTCTGGCCTTGCCGCGACGGATCCCCAGGGGAAAAAAAAAAAAAAAAAAAAAAGCCGCCCCCAAAAAAATTTATGCGCACGCAACGGAGGATATGCAGAAAAAAAGGACGAAAATAAACTCGAGGACGTTTATATATGATGCAAAGCGCCCTCGAACTAGGGAACAGTTATTTTAAAAAAAAAAATACTCCACAGTTAGGCGCTCATCATAATGCATGTCATTTGCGCGGATGGGCAGGTAAAAAGCACCACGTAGAAGAGACGATATATCCTGTGAAGTGGAAAGTAGCCATTCGTACAAGCGCAACCCAACAGGGAGGTTACAGAAAAGAAGAGTGACGCACTAACTTGTGAACCTGCATTGGCCAACCATCAGGCACAAAAGCGCCCCCCTCCGCTCCTCTCTCCACGTCACTACCCTATTCTCATAACAAAAGAGATGGGAAAGGAGGAGGAGACTCTTTTGGACGGCAAGCCACACCAGGGCAGTGCCCCCCTGGAGGGTAGCATTGAGGATAAAACAACCCCCCACAGTGAAGTTAAAAAAAAAAAAAAAAAAAAAAAAAATTAAGAATGGGAAAGGAAATCATCCCCCCGGTGGTAGAAACGGGGTGGAGAAAAAGGAATCGCGCAAGGGGGTAAAAAAGTCAAATGCGAAAGAAGAAAAAAAAAAAAAAAGGAAAATGATGAAACGGAAGGAGAAGCATAAGCGGAAGAAAAAAATGAAGCAGAAGAGAGAAGAAGACAGTGGAGAGGAGGAGGACGACGACCAACTCGTGGTTGAGTTCGAATTAATAGACCCCTGTGACAAGTACATGGACAATGTAAGGATCCTCTTAAGGAGTACAGAGCTGTACTCCAATTTGAAATGCTCCGAGGAGTTAGTGAAAATTATATGTGACCAGCAGAACATTGGCAAATTCTTATGTGTGGCGAATGGACCGCGTGTTGGTGAGAAGGAAGGTTCTGTTGAAGATGGAGGAGATGGCAAACAGGACCTCCCCAACAATGCTGATCATAATGTGGTGGGTTTTCAAACGATAATTAACCTAAACCAGTATGAACAAATTGGTGCCTTGAAGGAACTCCTGCTGCAGAAGGTGAAAAAGGTTAACACGCCGGAATATGTAGAGAGCGCGAAGAAGATCATATCACTCCTGTCGCCACACGAAACAACACACATTGGTCTGCTCATTGGTCACCGCATTTTAAACACACCCATCACATTAGTCCCCCTAATTTATAAAAATATAATTGAAGACGTGTACTGGTCTCAAGGGATTGAAGATTTAGACAAGAGTGAAAAAATGTGTTACTTCTTCAATTTCCTGTTATTTTATACGAAGGTTTATAACAATGCGGAAGGAGAAATTATATTTGCTAACTACGAGGAGGAGTATTTTTTTAAACACAAGACGCATCATGTCATGTGGAATAACAACAATGTAAAGCAGTTTTATGAATTTGTGAATGGCAAGAATAGGGAAGTCACTTATAAAGAGTTCGTAACAATTTTTGTCGTCCCATTTGACAAAGTGGGGGAGGCCCTGGGGGAGATGCAGAGGGGTGTCGGTGGTGCCTAGTGCGCTCCATTTTGCGGGCAGGAAAATTTTCATTCCCAGTGCGGTAAGCGCAATATGCGCGGTGAACGATATGCGCACATGAACCGCGACCCTCCTCAGGAGAGAAGGGTGTACCTGTCTGTCCCCTTTTTTTTGTCACTAGGGAGCGGCCGTTTGGAAGACGGGTGGCGCTCCCCTGTAAGCACTTCCCCAACTGTTAGTGTTGCATCCTCACGGGAGAGCCACTCCCGCATGTACATCTGTACGTTCTTCGATTTAGAACCAAACTGAATAGCTTTTTTTTTGAAGAGCATCAACTCTTTGCAGTGTGAAAAAAAAATTGCCATGCGTAGAACCCATTTGCTAAGCTTGTGGGTTCTAATGAGTTCATACAGGTGGCAGCATTCTTCTAAATTGTCTGACAAGCATCCCACGTTTGAGTGTCCTTCCCCCTTTATCACATTCGTTGTAAAGCAGGATAGTCCTTGCATGTGTACCGACCCCCCAAGGGGAGCTTCTATCATGTAGAATGAAATCATGAGGAGAAAATTCACCAGATTCATATCCAAGTAGGGATAAAAAAGGACCTTATTAGAAAAGCTAGTAAAACTTAATATACGGTCATCTCGGTACAAATTTCTGTTCCAGATTCTTCTTACATCTTTTATCATTTCGTTTTTTTTTAAATTTGTTGAATGTTTGGTTCCCCTTTTTGCTACGTGTGCATTGTTCTGGCGGTAGTAGCCTCCAAACAGCTCATCCGCTCCACTACCTATGATTAGGAGTTGGTGGTTACACTGGTAGGGAGCACCCTCTTCTTCTGCAATGCAGTGAGAACCACCGCAATTCATGTATAGGTCTTTCTTGAGGTAGTTCAATGTCTCCTCCTCTTTCTGGGGAGACTCTTCTATGAAAAGTTTTTCCTTCCTTTGGTGGTCCATACTAATATCATTATTTCCTTTCTTTTTTGCCTTAACGTAAAAGAGGTTCTTTATTTGTTCAAACTTTTGAGGATCGTTTTCGGCGTGCTTGGCGACAAACTGGTCTATGAAGTTGGTGTGGCATGTATCTTTGAACGTCTCCGTGGGGGCAGGTGAATTGCCGTTTTGTTGCTCTTCCTCATTGAGCTCCCTCTTGGCAAGTTCTGTGTTGAAATCCTTGAAGAGAGAGTCGATCCGCTCATAGTCGTACACCCTCTCTTTGTGCGCGGGGCACTCAGGAAAGAGCTCAAAGTTAATTAGGACCCTTTTCTTCTTCACAATAAGATAAAGGGTTTTTCTGCTCCTCTCGCCACTGTTTTCGTCGCGCTCCACTTGGTAGATGTCACCACTGCGTGTCGTCTCTCCGTTACAACTCTCCTGCGATGACTCCCCCTTGGAAAATTTCCTCCGGTGGACGTACCGCAGTTTCCTGCAGCAGGCGGAGCAGCACCTGTGCACGCACTTCCTCCTCATCACAAATTCGCATACCCTGCATTTGGACTTTCCCTCGGTTGCTTCTATCCCGGTTGAGTCTGCCCCGGATGCTTCTTCCCCCCTTTGGCATGCCACGTTGAGCACGCGGGAGGCCCGCCCCTTTATGTAGGCCCACTCCGGGCTGTGCAAAAAGGGACGAGGAAAAAGAACCCCCTTCCCCAAATTAGAAAAAAAAAAAGCAGCAGATATGTTGAAATCCATAGTAGTGTTGCTTGGTGACATTAAAGAGAAAATAATCCTCTCGTATTTGAGTAAGTCTTTTGGGGAGACGTCGACAAACACTAACCTGATGTCGTACTGGGGATACAATTTTATAATTTGTTCATATGACATTATGGAGGTGTACCTGTCCACTGCATTGTCGTCAAAGGAAACATTTATCAATTCGATATAGCCATTTGTAAATTGAGTGAAGTATGCTTTTATCGTTGTTAAGGTTAAGAGGGTTGAGTCTATCCCTCCCGAGAAGAGGATCCCCACCGATTTTCCTTCCCCCCCAACTGTGTCACATTTAATTGTGAAGGGAATATTTTGTACAAATTTTTCTGTTTCTTTTTTTTTTTCATTTTCACCTGTACCGTTCAGGTGATTTTTCATCCCTACTTTGGATTGATCATCCGAGTTGGAAAAAACTTCGTTCATCTTCCTCTCAATGACTCCTCTTAACAATTTCATATAAAGGTGAACAAAGCTGTTATTTAGTACCGTCTGGGCATCCCTCCTTTGGTCTCCATCCCCATGCATATATTTCTTCATCGATTCTTGAATGGTACTTTTGAGGAGAGCCCACTCGTCTGCATACCCACTGTATAGGAAGTAATTGCTCTCAACAAAGTTACACATACGATTAAAATTTTCTTCAATGGAGAGATCATCACCAGTCCACTCGGTGTACTTGGTGTAAATGCTATTCTTTTTAATGATCCTGTTTAGCATCACTTTATTTTTTTCAAATATGTTAAACTTGTACATGTAATATGGGCTTATCTGTGCTCCTACCTTTTCGTTGATAATACTTTGGGGTTTGAGGTCTCCTTGTTGGCGTTCTTTACACCACCTTGTGGAAGATCCATTACCATTAGGAAGAATATTATTTTCTGTTCGAAACACTCCATCGTGGTGAACTAGGTTGAGTTCCTTCTGAACAGAAAAATTATTAAACACATAATTGTCTCCATCCCTTTTGGTGAAATTAAAGTCGTAATTAATGAAGAGTCCATATGAACTTGTTAGTAAGACGGATGACTGCTCGTAGAAGAAGATAACCGATTTCATTCCCCACGAGTCATTTAAGAAGTATATGTTTGCGTGTTCATTTGAATATTGAATATACAAGAGGAAGAAACTTCCTTCTAGTCTGTTCAGCGCGTTTTCCAAATCATGTTTGTTCTTGCTAATATAATTATATAACCCTTTTACGTCGGTGGTTCGTTCATACGAACCCCCCTTATCGGTGTAGCTGCAACTTCCGTCAAGTAGGAGAACATTCCTGTTTTTTATCTTGTACTCTCTGAACCTCTTCCCCTGCTGATTTGTCTTTTCGCGGAATTCCTCCTCCTCCATGTGTTCGAAGTAGATGTGGGACGCGCACAGGTGCAGCAGCAGTGTTCGCTGATCGGTCCTGGCACAGTTAGCGGTGGTGACGTCGTTGGAAGTGGCCAGAACGTTAACGGTGGTGCCACCCTCAGGTGCACTCTCGCCGCGTCGCACGTCCAGCTCACAAACCACGCAGTGATATGGATCCCCCTCATCATTTTTAATCAACAACGGAGTTAAATACGTGTCCACGTAATGCTCCGTGAGAATATACCTTGGCGCTTCTTCCCATTGTTGAGAGTCGTGTGGCGCCTCTGTGGGGGAGTCCCCGGAAACAATGTTCTGTGCAAATTGGTTGTGAAGTTCATCTCTGATTTGGTCATCGTCCGTGTGGACCCTCACCAGGAAGTTGTTCATCATGGCTAGTTTGGGGAAATTCCGTCAGGATGGGCGAGGGATATAATTTTTGCTTCCCCACATTTGGCAACTCCCCCTTTTAATGCCGTGGCCCCTTTACGCCCACTGGCGTGATCAATCCTATTATGCAAAAATATATTCAGTAAATCTGTTCAAGCAAATGGGTTGGTGTCACTCTCCATTTGTGTGGCGGAGGCAATAAACGGGAAAACGCCTCTTTCCTTGCAAGGGTAGAATAACCGAGCCAGCTTTTTCCCCCTTCTGATGCACTCAACGGAGGGAAGCGTCTTTAAAAATGAGAAACAAAAAAAAAATAGGGAAAATATTATTGCCCTTCGTTGCATTATCCGAATCGGAGCCAACCACGGGGCAACGCAGAAGCAGCGTCACAATTTTTGCTTTGCTTCGGTTCGATCCGGTTCGCGTGCAGTGTCATGTCGTGCCTCATTTTATTTCTCACCCTTTTGGTGCGTTCGCAAAATATCGGCGTATGCGCTCCACTTCGAACAATTTAATCAACGCGTATTTGCTGCATAAAAGGCGCCGCACATAAGCATACAGAAGAGTGCCTACCTTATAGGGACTATTTTTTTTTTTTTTTTTTTGGGGGGTTCCCCCCCCTGTTCACGTGGGCGGGACGTATGCCACATTTTGTGTCCCGTCTGCTTTGTACACCCTTAGCCAACTAAGCAGGGACTAACCTGAAATGACAGACAATTGTTTCCTTTTCAAATTTGCCCCCTTTCCCTGTTGTGGAAAGGATGCGACGTGGTTTACAACTGATAGGTTAAAGCGTATAGCCCCAAGCTATACATAGAAATAGCACATAAAAAAAAAAAAAATGTACACAGGGGTATGATGTAACCCTCCGAGGGATTTATTGTTGGGCGCCCTGAAAGTTTGATATGCCTATGTAATGGATTCACAGATGATGATAATAATGGAGAGTTTGCGCTGGGCGACGTTGTCGTGTCTTTCCTCCCTTTTTTTGTAGCGCGCATACCCAAGGCAACTCACAAACTGGTAGCACATTCCTCGAATGTATTAGAACAGAGGGAGGCACAAAAATTGGGAAATGGCTCGGTACATAACAACGTACCTATAGGCGAAACATCCACGGATGTCGTGCCCTTCAGCGTTACACATTTCAACATTATGTGCTTTTTAAAACGAATCAGCTTTTTGTTTTCCCTCCACGCCAAAACAGTTGTATGAACAGGTCATACAGTTTTGAAATTACACAGGGGTAACTTTTTTTTTTTTTTTTTTTTTTCCCAAAAGTGTATGAACAGTTCATACATTTTTAAAGCTAAAAAGGTTAATTCTTTTTTTTTTTTTTGAAAAGTTGCATGAACAGGTCATACATTTTTGAAGTGAACGAGTAAATGGTTTTTGTAAAAAGCGTATGCGCTTCTTATTGGGTCAGGAAGTAGTAAAGGTACATGTGGCGTTGTGCCTTTGCGTGTGAGAAGCGGTGGTCCGCCCGTTGCTCCGCCAACATGGAGTCTCCGAAACGCGACAACGCCGCAACGCAGCTTGTGCAGGATAATAGGTGAACAGGTGAACAGGTGAACAAGCGCACACGTGTACCTACCATCTGTGTGCACGCTTCGAGCCTGCAACTGATGAGTAATTTGGCCCCTGTTCAGGTGAATAACGCGGCCGCAGGTAATGCTTCGTACAAACATTGGAGAAGTTACGAAGAAACCGCAAAGGAGCCGAGCGAGCGGTCGTTCTTTTTTTTTTTTATTTTACACACACAGAAGGGCGAGGTACCCCCTCCGACCTATGGCCCTTTCCGATAGGGGGATCATGATCCTTTTCGTGATTCTTCCTGACTTGTCGCGGTGCTTCGTAATTTTGTATGTGTTTTTTTTTTTTTTTTTTTTTTTTTCATTACACACTCGAGTGACTGCTACGATCACCTAATCCCTTCACCCGTGCGACCTCTCCTTCTTGCCATCATGCAATCGCTTCGCCCCCCGACCGCTTTACCTATTTCCCTCCATCGACACATCTGACGTTAAGTAAAAGATGCCGCCGTCAAATTCCCATTCTCAGCGGGCTGATTTTTTTTTTTTTTTTTTTTTTTGAGTGCTCCATTCACACAGGCATGGGCGAATTGCACAACGAGGTGAAGCATTCTGCGACAAGTCGTTCACCCATAAGTATAAATAAATATTCCTTTACATACATGCACATATATATTTTCCTTCTTTCCCACACTAGACAAATGTGAGTCTACCGTTTTCCCTTTCGTACATTGGTAAATTGATTCCCCCTGTGATGATGCATTTTTTGTCAAGGTCCATTTTTGCTTAAATTAAACCAACTCGGAACGGGAGGAGGCGAATGGGGAACAAGCAAAGGTACCCCTTCAAATGTATCCCCAGTTAGACATTTAAAAAATTTGAGCATCCGTGCAGCGACGTAATTATAACACGTTTATAAAATGAGTTTCGTTTCTGTGAAGAATTGCAACATACGGTTGATGTTCCATAACGTGTACTATAACTAGTCCCCATATAGAGTGCGCCAAGGGCTACGCGCAGAGAGTTCACTCTTTTTTTGTATGAGGACGCATTTTTCCGCTCTCATGTTCTTCCTCTTCTCAATACCAGTTGTATACGTTTGCGTGTGGATGTACGAGCGCATCGGCAGTGCCTTCTTCCCATTCTAAAGTATCCTTTGGGAAGTTGCACAAGTGGGGACTTCATATTCGTTTTTGCCTCGCTTTGTTCTGCGTTTATTTAGCGCCATTCTGCGGCAGTCTTTGTGTCATTCCGCTTTGCCTCCTTTTGCTTCTTTGTGCTCCATGTTGCTTCAATTTTATTTTTTGAGTGCTCCATTCACACAGGCATGGGCGAATTGCACAACGAGGTGAAGCATTCTGCGACAAGTCGTTCACCCATAAGTATAAATAAATATTCCTTTACATACATGCACATATATATTTTCCTTCTTTCCCACACTAGACAAATGTGAGTCTACCGTTTTCCCTTTCGTACATTGGTAAATTGATTCCCCCTGTGATGATGCATTTTTTGTCAAGGTCCATTTTTGCTTAAATTAAACCAACTCGGAACGGGAGGAGGCGAATGGGGAACAAGCAAAGGTACCCCTTCAAATGTATCCCCAGTTAGACATTTAAAAAATTTGAGCATCCGTGCAGCGACGTAATTATAACACGTTTATAAAATGAGTTTCGTTTCTGTGAAGAATTGCAACATACGGTTGATGTTCCATAACGTGTACTATAACTAGTCCCCATATAGAGTGCGCCAAGGGCTACGCGCAGAGAGTTCACTCTTTTTTTGTATGAGGACGCATTTTTCCGCTCTCATGTTCTTCCTCTTCTCAATACCAGTTGTATACGTTTGCGTGTGGATGTACGAGCGCATCGGCAGTGCCTTCTTCCCATTCTAAAGTATCCTTTGGGAAGTTGCACAAGTGGGGACTTCATATTCGTTTTTGCCTCGCTTTGTTCTGCGTTTATTTAGCGCCATTCTGCGGCAGTCTTTGTGTCATTCCGCTTTGCCTCCTTTTGCTTCTTTGTGCTCCATGTTGCTTCAATTTTATCATTTTATTTATTTATTAGCTGTTTTTTTTTTTTTTTTTTTTTTTTTTTTTTCATTACACACTCGAGTGACTGCTACGATCACCTAATCCCTTCACCCGTGCGACCTCTCCTTCTTGCCATCATGCAATCGCTTCGCCCCCCGACCGCTTTACCTATTTCCCTCCATCGACACATCTGACGTTAAGTAAAAGATGCCGCCGTCAAATTCCCATTCTCAGCGGGCTGATTTTTTTTTTTTTTTTTTTTTTTTTTTTTTTTTTTTTTTTTTTTTTTTTTTTTTTTTTTTTTTTTGTCCCCCGGGAAGCGCCCATTTCTCGTGGATCCCCAACGCGCGTCCCTGTTCATGCACCACGAGGGTGACCCTCTGATGGAGAAAATTAAAATGCCTTTCTGATTGACATTTTCCCTGTGCGAATATTTGCGTGTTTTTCCATTTTTGCCCCCCCTTGCGTATTTTCCCTTGCACATCCGGAGGCACCTTACGCATTGTCCCACCTGACCATGTTAACACACTGTATGCTCATTTTTGGATCTGTTTCCTTCCCGTCCCCACCCTTCTTTTCCGTGTAAGCATTATCACCTAGGGATGTATGCATATGTATGCATGTAATTTCATACGTATTATATATGCGAGCGCTGTGTGTGTGTGTACGGGAAGTCGCATGGTTTTCCATTCTTTTTACCCACACGTCCCACCAGAAGTTAGCGCGCATTTGAAGCGTGGCAGGACTGCCTTGGTGAGTAGGTTAACCGTTCGAGGGGTCCATCCGTTCACTGCACCAACTCGCTGACTCCTCATTTCAGTCCCAAACAGGAGGCTACGCCGAGGAGTAAAGCCGTGCCTCTTTACGAGTTAGAGGCCAGTCCTGTGGTCGCAGGCGCGTGCGCGAAGACACGTCCAACGGGCGCTTGTTCATCTGCAAAGGGGGGAAATTGCTCAACTCGGGCATTGGGAGTGGTGCGACGGCTAAGCACAAAGCAATTGGCAAAACGGCCACACCTCTACATCGGTACACAGTTGTCAAACTTTCCCGACCGTGCGTAAACGGACCCAAGAGATCCACCCACGAAGCACACCCAGGAGGTACTGCCCTATCGCCGCGTTCATTTCGTCCCCCGCTGACCCATCCAGAGGCACCCAAAAAAATGGTGAAGGTAAACGCGGGCGAAGGCGAGGAAAATGCGCGGAAGGGAATCTGCAAAAAGGGTATAGAGAAAAAGTACGAGAGAAGCAGAATGGCAGTGGAGGGCAGCAAGAAGTTGTCGGCCAGGAAGAAGTTTGGGCAAGACAAGGATTTGAGCGCTCTACGAGAGTCGCAGGGTGGAATTGGCGGCGTGATAGGTGGCGTCATAGGCGGTGAAATGGTCAGCGAAATGGTTAGCGAAATGGGAGGCCGCTTGGACAGTCGCGTGGAAAGCGGCGAACTCAGGCGAAGCGCAGACCTGGGAAGCAGCCTGCAGGCAGATCAACTGCAGGGACGCTCTCGGGACGGACAAGAAAGCAAGCATGGTGACCAAATGAACTACGAAGTGGTGCGGAACATCAGTAGAAACCTGAATCGCCAACTGAGCAGAGGTGTGGGGGATGAGTGTGTGAAGAATTTGGTGACACAAGTCAGTTACAGCCACCTGTTCACACTCTTAAAAAATATATTAACGTACCTGCCATTTTCTATTAACGACTACCTAATAGGGACGTTAGAACTAAAAGAAATAATTGATAGCAAATACAACACGTGCTTCCAGTTATACAAGAAAGAAGAACTCATGAGCCACATCTACGAAAATGAGTCAAAAAACCTTGTAGATAATAAGGTCTTTAATTTATTTTGGAGGTACAAAATAATGCAAAATAAAAAGGGACCTCTCAACCACCTGCATGTACTCAATTTTCAAGAAGGTGGAAAAGAACCCAATTTGGAAAACATTTTAATTGAGAAGTCTCGAATTTTTATGTACAAAATACATTCCTTTATTGAAGGGAGAGATTTAAACCTTTCATACATATACGAAATTTGCCATGGGCTTGGATACAAAACAGAGACCTTCCTTTTGTCTGTTTTTATATTCGACTCGTACATGCATAGTATTAACAAAATGACGGAGAAAAACCATTACAGGAAAATTAAGCTGTTAGTGATTATATGCTCTATTTTGCTAGCACTGATAAAGACCCAAGTGTTTAACGGTACCAGTATCATGTACCTAAATGACATTCTGTACCTTGTGAATAAACTTAGACACGACAAAGTAAATTACACGTGTATTGAAATTGCGAACAAGCAAATGGAAATTATTAAATTTCTTCCACTTAATTATAATAATTATTGGACCTACTCAGAGCTGACTTATGTTTATTTAATTAATTTAAAAAGCTGTTCGAAGAAATATCCCGCGATTAAAATTTACTACATTTTCCTGGAACACTTTGGCTTTCTGTATTTCCTGTATGATGTCATTTACGCCTACTCCATGTATATCACGGCGGTCGGTTCGTACAAGGTCATTCCTGCGAGCAGAGTTGTCGCCACAATAATTTTGTATTTCACCAACGCGTTTTACAACAGGATGAGCAACAGCTTGCTTTTCCAGGAGAACTTTTGTCAGGAAGTCTTCCACCTACCCTTTGCCAACGATTTGTTCATGTGGTCCTACCTGCTGCTGAACAACTTTATTTACTTTTTCGAACACTGTGTCCTTCCGAACAAGCACTACTCTTCCATTTACTCCATTTTTTACGAGACAGGCCGTATGCTCAATATCCACACGGTTTTTTGAGTGAGGTAGCGGCCTACTAGTGGAGTAGCTAGCTGGCTAGCTATTTTTTTTTATTACTAGTTTATGAATAATTTTTTTTTTTTTTTTTTTTTTTGGCGTTTTTTCACCTGACCGGTGCATGTACATTTCACTCTTTTCCCCTGTGCAACCAGTTAACCGCGTGTGCAAATGGCGGGGGAAGGGACGACGGGCATAAGCGCCCGGCAAAGCAACTTAAATTTTTTTTTTTTTCATGTTACTAAATTTTGAACTTTTTAAACGGATAGAAGTTGTGGCACTTGAAAAAAAGGGGAAGCGCTATGCGCAGGCGCTGGGCCGCAGGGTGAAACGCAAAAAAAAAAAGAAATATGCACAACAAATGGGTGTGCAATGGGATAGGCACAACTGACCTGGCACTATCCATCCACCGCTTCAAACCGTTTCAAACTGGTTCAAACTGGTTCAAACTGCTATCCCTTCCGGTAGGTAGGGCGGTCGAACACATCCTCCTTGCGGCGGGCGCGACGATCTTCCATGTCCCGGTTCGCCCACAGCGAGTCCTTCCTGGAGGTGTCGTTGTCGAGCAAGTGGGTGTATTTGGTTTGTCCCTGCTTGCCGAAGTTGCCCCTCCTCACGCGAAGAACTTTGGGCAAATTCTCCCTGTCGACTTTGTCCTCGTACACGGGCTCGTTATAATCACGTGTGTAAATTTCTTCCTTGCCTTCTTCAAAGAGGTCCTGAAAGAATCCTCCCTTGTGATAGTACTTTTGCATAAACAGCATTTTTTTCTTTTTCTTCTTTTCCTTGTGTGGAAGTAATTTATTTTGTTCCATTATTTCCCTGTCTGTCATTTTCCTCCTTTCGCTAATTTCGTTTTGTACAAGTTCATGCTTTCTCCTCTCCAGTTCGTCTCTCTTTAGTCTATTAAGGTGACGAAGCTTCCACAGCTCGTATTCTTCTTCATTTGGTTCCCCCTCATCATCATCGTCCTCGAAATTTTCATCAGACGAGAACAAATTATTTTCTTGGTTTTTCATTTGTTCAATCATTATATCGTTGTGTACAGTTTCTTCTATTGCCTTTTCCTTTTTCTCCAGTTCAATTTTTTTTTTTTCCGTTTCTTCATCTTTTAACAGCTGCTTCTCGCTCTTCTCCTTTTCGAACGTCTCCAGCAGTGTCTTCCTCTTCATTTTAAACACGTACTCGTGTTTCATTGGGGCGCTTCCGTCCTGTCCGTTCATGTAGTTTTCATCGTCCGACTGATCATCTGATTCGTCCTCAGAAGAGTTGCTGGATTCATCCTCATCGTCGGCTTCTTCTTCTTCTTCATCCTCCACCTGCTCTACTTCTTCCTGTCCTACAGAAAAGTACTTTTCATAATTGTCTGCCTCTTCTCCTTCCTCTGCTCTGGCCTTTGTGAGGCCTTCTTCCTTCACCTCCTCCGGGTTGTTAATAACTTTTACTTCTCGAACCCGCCTGGTGATTCTTTCCCGTTCGTCTCCCTTGATGCCTGAGGGGGTGGTCACCCATCATTATGGAGTTGTGTGTGTGTGTGCGTTACTGCTGCGATGGGTGTCATCACTAAGGTGTGCGCTTCGGCTAACCCGTTGGTGTCCTCTCGTGGTGATAAGAGAGGGGCTGCCACGAAACAAGTTAACCTGTGCAGCCAGATAACATATGCACCAAGAAAAAAAAGAACAAAAAAAAGACGCGGCGCATATATAATGCTCTCCTTTTGTCGATTAGCTTACTTTTATTTTTGAGTCTCTCATATCTGGAGTCGACATGGCCACGGCTACTGGGCAGGTCACTCCCAGGCTCCTTATCCGCATCGCCTCTCCTTGGTGCGTGGCCCTGTTTTTGTAAATATTCCGTAAGGGTATCGTTACGCGCGAAGAGGGTGTCCTCATCCTCTTCCTCCTCATCATCTTCGTCGCCATCCTCCTCGTCGTCCTCCTTGGCGTTCTTCGCGTAGTGGGGTTTCTGCGGGTGAGGGGGAAGAAGTTAAACACATCGTTGTGACGGATTGAAGCGTTGTGATGGTTTGAAGCAGTGTGGTGACAGGAAGCGGTTGGCAAAACCAGCACAGCGCGCGTTGCGAGGCTGCTCCCCTCATTGGTTACCTGTCCCGGGAAGTACCTCCGTACGACTGCCTTTTCGTTTTCCTTCTGTCTCTCCCTCTCGAGCTGCTCGGCCCGTGACTTGGCTCCCTCTCCGCCCTTGGCCACATCATCTTTATCCTCATTAACCACAAAGTAGTTTAATAGTTCATTCACAGAACTCATTTTCTTTCTTGTGGCATCTCTTTTTCTGTGGCCCCCCCTCTCTCTCTCCTTTGGTTCATTTTATTTTGTATGTTTCATCTACTTTGGGAGGTGGGGCAGTCCGGCGTTTTTTTTTTTTTTTTTTTTTTTTTTTTTTTTTTT